CCTCGAATCAGCCTACACACACCGCAGGCAAGGGAAACACAGTGGGGAGAAGACACACTGGCTCTTAAATGCCACAGCCTGGAAGGGACACAAGCCCCAGCACCTGAGTTTCACTGGCTAGGACCAGTCTCATGACCCTGCTTAGATGCAATTTCCTTCATGCTTCAGACAGAAAGAGAAACAGGTCTGGGGAATCATCAGGAACCACTGTCACAGGAATCCAGAAAAACATCCACTTCTGCTTCACTGACTATGCAAAAGCCTATGACTGTGTGGATTACAACAAACTGGAAAATTCTTAAAGAGCTGGAAATACCAGACCACCTTACCTGCCTCCTGAGAAATCTGTATGTAGGTCAAGAAGCAACAGTTAGAACTGGACATGCAACAACAGAAGGGTTCAAAATTGGGAAAGGAGTATGAAAAGGCTGAATATTGTCACCTGCTTATGCAGAGTACATCATGAGAAATGTTGGGCTGGATAAAACCACAAGCTGGAATCAAGATGCTGCGAGAAATATCAACAACCTCAGATATGCAGATAACACCACCACCCTAATGGCAAAAAGTACAGAGGAAATAAAGCCTCTTGATGAGGATGAAAGAGGAGAATGAAAAAACTGACTTAAAACTCAACATTCAAAAAAACCAAGATCATGGCATCTGGTCCCACCACTTCATGGCAAATAGATGGGGAAAAGTGGAAACAATGACAGATTTTATTTTCTTGGGCTCCAAAATCACTTCGGACGGTGCTGCAGTCATGAAATTAAAGATGCTTGCTCCTTGGAAGGAAAGCTATGACAAACCTAGACAGCGTATTAAATAACAGAAACATCACTTTACCAACAAAGTTTTGCAGAGTCAAAGCTATGGTTTTTCCAGTAGTTGTGTATGGATGTGAAAGTTGGACCATAAAGAAGGCTGAGTGCTTAAGAATGGATGCTTTTAAAACAGAAAAAGAGACTCCGATGTATAGAACAGACCTGTGGACTCTGGGAGAAGGCAAGGGTGGGATGTTTCAAGAGAACAGCATCGAAACACATATATTATCTAGGGTGAAACAGATCACCAGCCCAGGTTGGGTGCATGAGACAAGTGCTCGGGCCTGGTGCACTGGGAAGACCCAGAGGGATCGGGTGGAGAGGGAGGTGGGAGGGGGGACCAGGATGGGGAATACATGTAAATCCATGGCTAATTCATTTCAATGTATGACAAAAACCACTGCAATGATGTAAAGTAATTAGCCTCCAACTAATAAAAATAAATGAAAAAAAAAAAGAAAAAGAATGGATGCTTTTAAACTGTGGTGCTAGAAAAGACTCTTGAGAGTCCCTTGGATCAAACCAGTAAATCCTAAAGGAAATCAACCCTGAATATTCATTGGAAGGACTGATGCTGAAGCTCCAATACTTTAGCCACCTGATGCAAAGAGCCGACTCACTGGAAAAGACCGTGACGCTGGGAAAGACTGAGGGAATGAGGAGAAGATGGTTAACAGAGGATGAGATGGTTGGATGGCATCACTGACTCAACGGACATGAGTTCGAGCAACTCTGGGAGGTAGTAAAGGACAGGAAAGCCTGGTGTGCTGAAGTCCATGGGCTTGCAGAGAGTCAGACACAACTTAGCAACTGAACAACAACAACTGTCACAGGGGCAACTCAGCTTGAGTGAAAAAACTAATCGGAGTAAGCATGGCTCATTGACAGTCTAAAGCAACAGTAGCCAGGAGATACAATAGGTAATGGGGTCTTCTGTAGGATACACTGAGGGAAAAAGAGCACCTGTGGGTTCCTGATGTGAGAGGTAATGTAAGGAAGTGCAGCTTGCTTGTGGCCTTCAAATTATATGATGGAGAACACAGAAAATGAAGGAGAAAAATCAGAGGACATTTCCTTCAAACCCTGAGGCAGGATTTAAAGGAAAATGGGAAAATCATCACGAAACTGCAACAGTTAATAATAGTAGACAAAGAAAGAGGGAAAGAAAGAGGAAGGAAGTAGAGATGAGCGGTAAAGGATGATTTCAATGCTTCAAGCCTGGAGAGCAGGTGGTTAAAACTCCGCATTTCCAATGCAGGGGGTGTGGGTTCAATTCCTGGTCAGGGAACTGACAGCCCACCTGCCACATAGCGTGGCCAAAAGAAAGGAAGCAATTATCTGAAAAAAGACCAATTAGTCTGTCTGGGACTTACTCACTTGGCTGAATCTGGGGTGCTGAGGTCAACACTGCAGAATTACTATCCCCGTTATGCTAACTGAGATTCTATTGACAACTCCCTTAATCGGGTGTTACGTGAAACAATAGATGGCTTTCACTGCATGTAAACTGGAAGGGTAGGTGGCTGGGAAGGGTAGGTGGCTGAGAGTGGTGGCCTGCAGGAGCCCCAGAGTCCGTGTGTGTGCCAAGCACGGCAAACTGAAGGCTAACTTGCTCTGATCGAGCCCTCTCCACAACGGGCAATGAAAGTAACTAGGCAGGTGCAGTGACCACATGACTGCTCACTCCTTTGTGGTTCTGCAGTTTGACTCTGGACAATTTACAAAGGTAAATAACCGTTAGAGGTAGGGGGAAGCAACATCAGAACTGCTCTTCACTACCCTCTCCACAAATCATGTGCAGAGTTACCAGACCCACCGCAGGTTGAGCACATGCAAATAGATGGTAGACACCACCCAGCACATGTGTACAAGGCGTGTGCCTGCCAAGAGTCTGTTATCATTTTCCCAGCCTATTTATTATATTGGGAATACTGGGACTTCCTGGCAGTCCAGTGCTTAAGATTCTGCACTTTCAATTTGGGGTGGGGGGGGTGGGGAGGTAGATCCAATATAACCAGTAAACAGTATAACCAGTAAAGTTATACTGGTCACTGAAGTGGTGCAATTGGCTTAAAATTACAGATATCACTGAAGTATGATATGTAGTGAGGCTTGCTAAAAGTGAAATTACATGTCTTGTGAAGCTGCTTTTAAAAATACCACCTCAATTTAGGTGTGAAAGAAACAACTGTAAAAGATTAGAGGGAAAAAAATCATAAAAATCTAGAATGCTGCTTCAATGAAACTACAAGTGCTTTTATGTGCTTACTCCACTTTAAGCATAAATTTAAAAGTGCACATAACAAACATGGTAGAAAGAGGACATGGAATTCCAATCAACAGGTTCATATTCAGAAAGAAAAATGCCTTGACCATACACCAAAATTACTAAGTAAATGTACATTTATTAACATTTTTATTAAAATTTCTCACAACAACCTCTTTGTTTAGAATTCCTTCTTGCCTGACTTCTTCAGTAAAAGCCCGACTACCAATGTTAGTGACCTAGATAAAAGGGGTCCTATAGTAAACCAAAAACTGTATAGCAGTCTATCAATGTTTAAAAAGATGAAAACATTTAGACATGCAATAATGGAGATACAATACAGAAACATGTAAACATCATAAAATGGTGGGGAAAAAAAAAATCACCATAATCACTGTAGTCAATTATTACAACTATTTGAAAACTACGTAGTAGTGCTCAGTTGCTCAGTTGTGTCCACTCTTTGTGGTCCCATGGACTGAAGCCCGCCAGGTTCTTCTGTCCATGGGATTCTCCAGGCAAGAACACTGGAGTGGGTTGTCATTTCCCTCTCCAGGGGATCTTCCTGACCCACGGATGGAACCCGTGTCTCTTGAGCCTCCTGCATTGGCAGGCAGATTCTTCACTACTAGTGCCACCTGGGAAGCTCTTGAAAACTATGTGAATACTGAGTAATATCAGAAGACAACAGAAAGTAAAATAGCTGCTGAGTTTGGTGAAATAATAAATTAAATATATGGTATATTATTTAAATATTTAAATAATAAATTCAACTTTAGTAGGAAAAAAATTTCTTTTATGCTGTCTTTGAAGCTATTTTGATGTAATTTTGTATAAACAGCTACTGAGCTCAGGGAATTCAAAATATGATTCAATGTTTAAAAACACAACACATCCATGAGTTATATGTCAGCATTTACGAGCTCTGTTAAGACATCTCTGGTCATCCCTATAGTTGGAATGGCTACGGGAGCCCGTCTTTTCTACATATAGACAGGATACTTTCTTGAGCTAAAATAGCAGCAGATAAGAACTACCTCCATGGCTACAGTAAAATCTGTGATGAGAATATTTAAGAAGATGATGTTACATATTAATAAAGAAGACTAATTCAGACTCTAGTAACTGTTTTAAGCTTCGTCTGGCAAATTAAAATATACATAACTACACAATACAAAGAACTGTGCTAAAAACTCTGAGAGGTTAATCCACTATTTAAATGTAATATCCTTACTACTGTATAAAGAACAGATAAATAAGAACCTACTGTACAGCCCAGAGAACTACACTCAGTATTTCGTAACAACCTAGAAGATGAAAGAATCTGAAAGAGAACTAACATATATCTATAACTGAACCACTGCTGCACACCTGAAACTAATACAGCATTGTAAATAAATTATACTTCAATTAAAAAACCTTAATATTCTTGAAAAAAACAATTCAAAGAACTTGTTATAAACTTTAAAAATAATTATTTAATTCTAATCTATATCCTATTAAGTACAAAATCTCTAAAGGCATATGTATTTCTATTTATTTACATGTATTTAGTACATCTTTTACCTCTACCAATGGCAATCACTTAAAATATTGAGCTCCTGGGCCTCCCCTGATGGTCCAGGGGTTAAGAATCCATGCTTTCACTGCAAGGGGCACAGGTTCAATCCCTGGTTAGGGAACTAAGATCTCTTAACCCATGTGGTGCACCCAAAAAAAAAAATATCAAGTTCTAAAAAAAAAAAAGAAAAGTCACGCTTCTGGGAATGGATCAGGGGTTGAGAAGGGACAGAGTGAAGGGTGAGTCTTCAAGAGCTGATAGCATTATTCAGCCTCACAGCCACGGCTATACAGTGCTCAGACACACATTAATCATTACTACTTAATTCAACCATAAGCCGAAGACATACCTTGGGGTGAGGAAGGATGCTGCTCCTGCAGCTTCTCCTGAGAGAGGAGTCCCAAGTAGCTGAGAACCACGTACTTCGTTTCATAGTGAAATCCTAGAGGCACGGTAGTTGAGGACGCCATGGGGGTGGCCAGCAGAGCTCCGAGAATGTATACTTACAGAGGCACAAAACCTAAAACAGAAAAGTATTTTTTTAGTGTACAGTTCATTACACGCCGGGACATCCCGGGTGGCCCGTGGTTGGGAATCCACCTTGCTAATGCAGGGGACTTGGCTCCATTCCTGGTCGGGGGAACTAAAACACCACACGCCCCAGGGGCAACTGAGCTCTCACAATACAACTAGAGTCCAACTAGAGAGTCTATGCGCTATAAAGGACTATTCTGAGTGCCACAACTAAGACTTGATGTAGTCAAATAAATAAAGTTTTTTTAAAAAAGTTCGTTACATGCCAACACATTTTCCCATTAACTCCAACCATACAACTAAACACCAAAATAAATATTTCTCAGACTTACCCTCTCGGTAATCTTTAAAAAACGTAACTTCAGTTTACTTACAGTAGGAATGCATGTATTCAGATTTCAGGTCAAAAGCACATTTCCCTTTCTATCTCCCCCAGTTACCCTACTTTCACCTGTGTGGCAAGAACAGTAGCTCTGCCCTCTTTACGCTGCACCATGCCCCCAGCCAGCACGTTCTCATTCTTCCACTATTAAAGCCTTTACATTCCAGCAGGGCCCAAGGTGCACAGCTGCGGCTGACATCTCCCATTTCCTCCGCAGCTTCATGTACCATACGACTGGTCTGAGCCCGAGCAGTGAGAGAAGCAGCTATGTGTGCAGTGGGGTCTTCTGGACTTGAATTATGACAATGGCAGACACCTCTCCGGGGGGCAGCATAAGACAGGAGAGACCTGGGCCTGACTGACACTGTGGAGCAGAGCCGCTCTGCCCGCCTGCACCACTTGCCTCTGAACTGTTCCTCAAGTCAACCTTATTCTGAATCTCTTCAGGAGATACTTTAACTTGTACCCTAATCAATGCGAGTCCAACTCCACTTCTCCACTTGGACCCAACAGCTGTTTTACCTACCATGTACCCCTGTTTTAAAGACCTACTCTTTTGGCAACTTCCAAATATACCACGCAGAATTATATATACTATGCTCACCAGGCTGCAAGTTACAGGCTCGGGATTTATTTATATCATAATCAGTTTGTATCTTTTGACTCCTATGTATCCTAAGGACTTCCCTGGTGGCTCAGATGGTAAAGTGTCTGTCTACAATGCAGGAGACCTGGGTTCAATCCCTGGGTTGGGAAGATCCCCTGGAGAAGGAAATGGCAGCCCACTCCAGTACTCTTGCCTGGAAAATCCCATGGACGCAGGAGCCTGGTGGGCTACAGTCCATGGCGTCGCAAAGAGTCGGACACGACTGAGCGACTCCACCACATGTATCTTAATAGTCACTGCAAACCAAAGTGTTTTATTAAGGTTTCCAAATAATTGTTTTCTACTTAAAGCAATGATAGACTGTTTTAAGATCTTAAGAAATATCTGATAAAAGAAAAACATTCAGATAACCAATAATAGGAAAAAGAGACAGGGAATGTTGACAAAATTTAAGATCTGTACTAAACAAACTAAGATAAATGAATAAACAATGAAGAAAGTATGGAGAATTTGAAATACACAGAATAAAAGAGTGACTATATAAAGAGATTAAAAAGAATGAACATAAAAGTCTGGCTTCAAGGGGAGAAAGGAGTCTGAGAACAGAGACAAAGGGTCTGACAATTCTTTAATTTGGTCACAATGAAAGAGACTTAAGCATGCTTATATTCAGTGAGAGCCGATGAGAAATAAAAAGAGAGCAAGGAATAAATTACTAAGTTCCAAAAGAGAGGAAGAGAACTGAGGAAATCAATAACAAAATTTAACCTTTGAAAAGTCTCAGAAATTTTTGTTAAGAGGAACAAAGAAGTAAGTCATCTTGTGAATGCTTTAAATTTTTTAAAAAATGAATGTTCTAGAATTTGTTATAATCAAATTTCTTGTATTTATCCAGACACCCCAGTGCAGCACTATTTACAACAGCCAAGCCATGGAAGCAACCTAAATGTCCAATGACAGAGGAATGGATAAAGGTGATGTGTTTACACACACACACACACACACACACACGCATGCATGGACTGGAATATTACTCAGCCATAAAAAAAGAATGAAATAATGCCATTTGCAGCAACACAGACACACCTGGAGATTATTACAGTAATCGAAATAATTCAGAAAGAGAAAGACTAATACTCTATGACATCACTTATATGTGGAATCTAAAATATGACACAAATGAACTCATCTACAAAACAGAAACAGACTGGCAGACACAGAGAACAGGCTTGTAGCTCCTGAGGGGGTGGAGGGAGGGATGGGATGGACTGGGACTTTGGGATTTGCAGATGCAAACTATACTACAATGGATAAAAAACAAGGTCCTACTGCACAGCATGAGGACGTATATACAATTCCCTGTGATAAATCATAATGGAAAAGAATATGAAAAAGTATGTATATGTATGTATAATAATCACTTTGATGTACAGCAGAAATTACCACATAGAACAACTGACTGGTTCAGTTGGGAAAGAGTACAACAAGGCTGTATATTGTCACCCTGCTGATTTAACTTCTATGCAGAGTACATCATGTGAAATGCTGGATGAATCACAAGCTGAAATCAAGATTGCTGGGAGAACTATCAACAACCTCAGATATGCAGATACTACTCAAATAGCAGAAAGTGAAGAGGAACTAAAGCTTCTTGATGGGGGTGAAAAAGGAGAGTGAAAAAGCTGCCTTAAAACTCAACATTCAAAAAACTAAGATCATGGCATTTGGTCCCATCACTTCATGGCAAATGGAAGGGCAAAAAGTGGAAACAGAAACAGATCTTATTTTCTGGGGTCGACTCAAAATTACTTCGGACGGCAACTGCAGCCATGAAATTAAAAAACACTTGCTCCTTGGAAGGAAAGCTATGATAAACCTAGACAGCATATTAAAAAGCAGGGGCATCACTTTGCCCACAAAGGTCCGCCTAGTCAAAGCTATGGTTTTTCCAGTAGTCATGTATAGATGTGAAAGTTGGACCATAAAGAAGGCTGAGTGATTAAGAATGGATGCTTTTGAACTGTGGTGCTGCAGAAGACTCTTGAGAATCCCTTGGACAACAAGGAGAACAAAGCAGTCAATTTTAAAGGAAATCAACCCTGAATGTTCACTGGAAGGACTGATGCTGAAGCTCCAATACTTTGGCCACTTGATGAAAAGAGCCGACTCACTGGAAAAGACCCTGATGCTGGGAAAGATTGAGGGCAAAAGGAGAAGAGGGCGAAGGAAGATGAGATAGTTAGATAGCATTACCTATTCAATGGACATGACTTTGAGTTAACTCCGGGAGATAATGAAGGACAGGAGCCTGGTGTGCTGCAGTCCATAAGGTCGAAAAGAGTTGGACTGACTTAGCTACTGAACAACAACAGAAATTCCAAAACATTGGGAATTCCCTGGTGGTCCAGTAGTTAGGATTTGGTGATTTCACTGCCCTGGCCCAGGTTCAATCCCTGGTTGGGGAACTAGACCCCACAAGCCACATGGTGTGGGAAGAAAAGAGAAAGAAATTAACACAACATTGTAAATAAACTATACTACAATAAAATTAATTCTTAAAAAAATTCCTTGTATTTATCAGAAACATATCTCTGAAGACACTTTTAATTACACACCAACCCAGATGCTACAGACAAAGCATCTAGGATTTTTCATCTAGTGCTCTTCAAATTTCCTTAGAAATCCCAACTGCCTAACCATAAATGCCATCTTTTGCCATAAATCCGACCAAAGAGTTGGACCTGACTTGGTGACTGAACGACAAATGCCATCATGATTTCATAATTCTCATAATTTCATAATTCTCCACCTTCCAAATTCACCATCCTATTCACAATGAAGTCCTCAGCTATAGTATACATGTCAGTATCCATACATCCACACGGTTGATGAAAGATTCTATTACACTCAATCATTCTTCATGATTCACACTAAGGAAGAAGATGTTCGCACACATTTAAGTCATTTCAGTTTAGCATATAGTCTTTAAGCTTCACATTTGTCTCTGACATCCTAGTCATAAACACAGCACACCCACAGGTTAAAACATCCATCCAGCTCCTCTAACTCTGCCTAAGCTGCCAGTTTCGGAGCAGTGGAGCAGCTCCTTCAGGTGATGGGGCAGGCTGACCTCAGAAACACTACTATGTATCTACAACACCGGGAATATAGCCAATTTTTATAATAGCTGTAAATGGAGTATAACCTTTAAAACCTTGGAATCACTATGCTGTATAACTGTAACATATAATATTGCACATCAACTTCAATTAAAAAGACATGCTACTTTATGTCCAGTGAATTTCTATTCAGTTACAATTTCTCAAAGGCACTGGGAATATGCCAAGTGTACACTCCACAGCCCTGCTGCTGGGTGCTCTCAAAGGCACTGAGAATGTGCCGAGTGTACACTGAACAGCCTCACCGCTGGCTGCTCTGGGAACAGGGCACCCACTCCCTCTGCTACTCTCTATGCAGACTAAAGTCAGCATGATGAACCAAGGGCTCCTGCATTTCTAACACATACCACAAATTCCCCTTGCACGAGACCTCCACTGCTGAAGTACTGTCACAGAAATCCTCCACACCAGAAGGAAAAAGTAGCAGTCTCAACTTAATTGATGGAGAGACAGAAGTAGACAACTTATCTGCCGAAAATCAGAACAGCTGGTTAACAGCACAACCACTTGGTGGAGAGCACTCTCCTCGGTTCCAACCTCACAGGCCTGCACCCTTCCAACACATACCTCCTGCAAGCCTGGCAGGTGAGAGGACACAGAAGTGAAAATACTCCCACTAATGACAACGGGAAGAATCAGTAGAAAAACAAGGCAATGTCCCAAATATCAGACACCCAGGGTACCGAAAGAAGCAATTTTGTCAACTTTGAGAATGGGGTGGTAGTGGGGAGGGAGGGGGACAGGTTAAAGGAAAAGTAAACATGCTCT